TTTCTTAACTATGAAGTACCTTCCAAAACTCAAACTACAAAGAAAAAGAGTGGCGATATAGCGATACTTACGTCGTAGGGATCGTTCTAATGTTATCGCTTCTTAATTTCATACCCGAGATGTTAATCTTCTTTGAAACCCTAGAATAGATCTTAAGGATATGTTTATGGGTGTTCTCAGGTCGTGTACTATGGCAAAATGAAGATAAACATGGCCTACGACCTCTCATTGGCTTATATTTTGACGCTTATATCTTTTTATCCGGATGTCGTATGAATGAACGGTTAAGAGAGTTGGAAACTACACTCCACGACCTTAAATTTGGTACATAATATGATCCAAAAAGACCTCATATAACACACGAAATGTATTGCTCAAAAAGCTTTAGTGACACACTTACTTATCACCTATGCAAGTCTCGCGAAACTGCAAATATGTTTCTACTCAGATGTCGTATCAAAAAACTGTTTAATGCATTAGAAAATAAACTCATAGATATTAAATTTTATATGTGGATCATCCCTAAATTCCAATTATATTGGGAGAAATGCTCCACTACATTTGAGCTGATTTTCAGCACATTTATTATTATAACTTGTCATGACCTTTGCCAACTTTTGTTCCACAACTCGCTTGACTTCAAAATGTAATACATGTCAGAAATGAGATTGCCTTTTAAAGTACATATGGTAAGTTAATCATGTTACCTTGGAGGTTACAAATTTGTAAGATCATAGATAACAAGTACCAAGAGGGTTGAAAGACTTAGAAACTAGGCAAATTGAAGAAAATAAGTTTCGTCGAATGTCGACAAGTTGGGAATGTTATAACATGTACTTTTTATATGTGGATCATCCCTAAGTTCCAATTATATTAGGAGAAATGCTCCGCTACATTTGACCTAATTTTCAGCACATTTATGAATGTAACTTGTCATGACCTTTGCCAACTTTTGTTCCACAACTCGCTTGACTTCAAAATGTAATATACGACTATCATACGACTAAAATAACTCATAACATGACCTCATTTTCATGGTAAGAACCCTAGTATCACCCCAAAAGTTCATGTTATAACATTCCCAACTTGTCGACATTCGACGAAACTTATTTTCTTCAATTTGCTTAGTTTCTAAGTCTTTCAACCCTCTTGGTACTTGTTATCTATGATCTTAAAAATTTGTAACCTCCAAGATAACATGATTAACTTACCATATGTACTTTAAAAGGCGATCTCATTTCTGAGCTTGCATCAATTGACTTATGATGTACTCTCACGTACGAAAACATGGGGAGTAACAGCATGTTTGACCTCGGACCGGGGTATTCTTTTTTGCTTCACTGGATGGAACTTCGGATCCAAGCTTAGTCTATGGGTGGTGATTTCCAGTGGGATCCCTGTCATGTTAAGATGGGACCAAGCAAAACAATCCATGATAGCTAAAAGAAATTGAATAAGCTTTTTCCTGAGCTCGAGATTTAACCTCGTGCCCAGGTATACCTTTCGTTCGGGCAGTTTTTTGGTTAGTGTGATTTGCTCCAGTTCTTCGACCGTTGATTTGGTAGCGTCGGAATCATCGGGGACTATGAAGGATCGGGGGATCCCATAATCATCATCTTCGTTAGATTCCTGCTTTTCTAGTTGGGTCAAGGCTGGCATTTGTGATTGCTATTTGGTCTCCTCATTTGAATTTGACCCCTTTGCTGATGAGAGTGAAGATATCAGAATTACTTCATCGACGGCAAACATTTCCTTTGCAGTAGGTTGCTCCACGTAGATTGTTTTGATTCCTTTTGGTGTTGGGAATTGTAGAACCTGGTGAAGGGTTGAGGGTATTGCTCTTATGTTGTGGATCCACGGTCTCTCGAACAGGGCGTTATGCCTCATGTCGCCCTCGATCACGTGGAATTTCATTTATTGGATGGTCACGGCCACGTTTACTGGAAAAGTTATCTCGCCCTTAGTAGTTTCACATTCCATGTTGAATACATTTAGTACCAGGGCTACGGGCATGACCTGATCCTGTAGAACGAGTTGCTCTATGACCTTTGATCGAATGATGTTGGCTAAACTACCTGGATCAATTAATACACGCTTAACTTGAGTATTATTCATGAGTACAGATATTACCAGTGCATCGTTATGGGGTTACTGATTCCCTCTGCGTGTTCGTCGTTGAAGGACAAGGTTCTTTTTGATATGTAATCCTGAGCCCGAGATCGCTTTTCCCTTACGATCGAGACTTTAGTGCGTTTAAACACTGGCCCTTGGGGAACATTGATCCCTCTGATAATCATGTGAATAATGTGTTGTGGTTCTTGTTGCTCATTTTTTCTATTGAACTCTCTATTTTTGAAGTGATTCTTGTCTCGATCACTTAAAAACTCCTAAAGGTGCCCTTCATTGAATAACCAGGATACTTCCTCTCTCAATTGCCTTCAATCTTTCGTTCTATGGCCGTGGGTGCCATGATATTTGCATACTTGATTGGGATTTCTTTGGGCTGGATCGGTCTGCAGAGGTCGAGGCCATTTAGTATCTTTGATGCGTCCGATAGGCGATACGATGGCGGATGCATCAATATTGAAGTTATACTCCGACAATCGCGGTGCTTCCTTAGGTCCGGTGTGCATGTCGAAACCATTCTTGCTGATCAGCCCTCGAGAGCCTTGGCCTTGATCACTTCTCCTCTCACCTCGTATGGAGTTGTGCCCATGTCCGTTGCCCCTACCATCTCTATTATATGGCTTGTATCGATCCATGTTCATCCTCGGTTCTCGATCGATGTCCCTTTTGGTAGCGGAAACAGAAGGAGCCCCCAGCTTGTCATCTTAAACTCTAATCTTTGATTGATATAGATTAATATATCGGCCCAGGTAACAGCCAGGTACTCAATCAAGTTCTGCTTCAACTGCTGTGAAGCCACTGAGCTTCGTTTGTTTAGTCCTTGAGTAAAAGCTTGAACGACTCAATCATCTGTGACCGGTGATAGATCCATTCGTTCCATTTGGAAATGAGATACAAACTCTCTTAGCATCTCGTTCTTGTTTTGCTTTACATTGAAGAGGTCCGACTTCCTAGTCTCGACCTTTATGGCTCCGGTGTGTGCTTTTACAAAAGAATATGCAAGCACGGCAAAAGAATCGATAGAGTTAGGTGGTAAATTATGATACCATATCATTTCTCCCTTTGAGAGGGTTTTCCCAAATTTCTTTAGTAATATAGATTCGATCTCATCATCCTCTAGATCATTCCCTTTAATGGCAAACGTGTAAGAGATGACATGCTCGTTGGGGTCGGTCGTTCCATTATACTTAGGAATCTCGGGCATGCGAAACTTCTTGGGGATCGGTTTGGGAGCTGCGCTCGGGGGAAAGGCTTTTGTATGAACGTTTTGGAATCCAAACCCTTCAGTATTGGTGGCACTCCTGGGATCTGATCAAGCCTGGAGTTATAGGTTTCCACTTTCTTGTCGTTTTCTTCGATCCTCTTTTCCCCTGATTCTATCCACTTTGTCAGTTCCTCGAGCATCTTTATAATTTCGGGGTTAGTCCCTGATTCTTGTTCATTTGTCCTTACCACAGCTAGCCCCGTTCTGTGGGTGACTTCTTAGGGTGGACCAGGCTCGGCCCTGCTCGGTGCCTGGGTTTGGCTCTATAACTGAGCTATCGCCACCTGTTGAGCTTGCAGCATTTCGAAGATCATACGCAGGATGATCTCGTCGTCTCAAACATTTTGGGTATTTCGAACTGCATATCGGATTCCACCATGGATGTTATTTTTGGGACCAGAATGTTAGTTCGCTTCGATGGCCACATGCGAATCAACATCAATCGGATCCACGACCCGAGTTTTAACAGGTTCAGCGGGTGGCCTTCCATCCCCGGGCGTTTTGTTGTTATTCTCCCATTGATGGCCAGATTCGTTGTCGACATGTAGGGGTATTAATTGAGAGTTCGTCATTTTTAGCCTGAAATCAAAGATACTTCCAAGAGAAAATTTAAAATAGTGTGTTTTACAAAGATTTGTATCAAATAACCACTATTGTCCTTAGCCCCACGGTGGGCACCAAACTGTTTACCCGAAAAACGGATGACAATTGAATTTATACGCGGTTCTAAGGATATGTGGTATAATTTGGTACAAATTGATAAAATATATAAATGAATATCGAAATAGACTGTAAAGGAAATGAATGCAAACCGAATGAATTAATTAGCCTAAGCCTTCAAGTTTTATCACCCTCAAACTGAATGAAGAGTAACTGATAGGAGAACGATATGACTAAAATATCAAAACCAGGAAAAAGATAGTATATTGCCTTATGTCCTATGAATCTGAATGAATCTGCCTTACAAATAATCAGACCCCCCTTTATATAGTGGAGAGGTTCTATTCTTAATATGATTTTTAAATATAGCAAGGAATCTCATGATAGATTAATTAATTAGCCTCATTGATATGCGCCGTGGTTTTTGCTAAGATTCTCGCCCAATTGCGGATATTCCGGTTTCTGTTTTTTGGTTCGTTAAGCTTTCTTCGATCGATGCCGATCTCGGCCTCGATCGGCCTCTATTTAGCCCGATCTCGATCTTGACCGGTCTCTATTTAGCCCGATTCCGATCTTGGCCAATTTCGAACTTAATCGGTCTCTATTTAGCCCGATCCCGATCTTGGCCAATCTCGAACTTAACCGGTCTCTATTTTGCTCGACCTTGATCTTAGCCGATCTCGATCTTGACCGGTCTTTATTTTGCTTGCTCTCTGGGTCTCGAGCTCGGTAACCTAATTTCGCATCATGGCTTGATATTACACGAAGTTGAACCTTAGTCTATCATGTTTCAATCTCGATTATTCATACGAAGGGCAAACTCGATTTTGACCGTAAACCGTATTATAATTCTAGCATAACTAATATGTGAACCAAACTACCTGTTAGGGAAGAGATAGAAACAAATTATTAAAGTGGTTCATACCTAGCATTGACTCCAAATATACCGGAAGATAATACGCAGTTTCTGTCACATAGCATTTGATGCTCTCAATTCTCAACCAAAAGCCTAAATCTAAAATGAATACAGGGTGATGAAAAAAGTACAAGGTAAGTAGAGATTCAAAACTAAAATAACAAAGGAAAAATAATGGATCATAAAAAGGAGAAGGCAAAGGAGAAAAGAGAAAAGAGACGCCAAGAGATCTCTCTTTTACGTACTATTCCTTATTCCGATCACCGAAAGTGAGTTTTTCATTTCTTTAAAATTTCTCCTTTCCTTCTTTGTGTTTGGACCATATCCAGAATTTTAAATCACGTGGAGTATCATTTCTTCCCTTATCCTTGTGTGTATATATGTGTGCTAAAGCAAGCTTTTTTATAGATTGAATTAAATACAATGGGGTTGGGACCATGATTATGGTAAGATGACTAAGATCTATCATTATTGAAAAGGCAGTATGCTTGCGTGCATTTTGACTATTATACCTGATACCTGCCGCGAACATTTTAAATCTATTGATCAATTTATATGGACATTATGCAGTTTGTCCAATAGGACAATAATGGCTCAAAAATTGCCTTCCAAGGATTACTAGTTTTAGCATTTAATTAAGAGGAATGGAGATTAATTAGAGTTTTCCTGCGTGAATTAATTTTTGGGCGATAACACTAGCTTTTATTGATCCTATAAAGATTTTTCTTTGGGTTTTAAAATGAAGTACTACTTCTGTCTCGGTAGGAATAAAGATATCATCGGCATATAGCACAAGATTGCCTGTTCTTGCAGGCATGGAATGACCTGTGAACAAGGTAAATCCAAACCGCATTTAGCAAACGATGATACAAAAAGCGAAGGCTCACCCAAATGAACTAATTGCCTTCGGGTTTTTTTCTTGACGACAGGCCTGTGCCTCCTCTATTCCTACTTTCCGGAGTATCTCTTCATCTAGCATTAGACGATTCCTTAGACATTTGTATTAATTGTGCCAGGCAGTAACATAGCGTCTCAGTTTTCAGCGCATTGGGCTGCTTGGAAGGTCATCATTTCATGGCATTGGGTACTTACTGGCAAACCTAATTAATGGGAGGGAGATATGTTTCCCGTAAAGTTGGACGTATGAAATTTTCTCTAAGGAGAAATGCAGGCTCATGCGCTAAATTTAGAGACGAATTCAGGATTTTAATTCTTTCTATAGAGTACTAGTTTGTGGCCGTGGAGGAGCCATATAGCTCCAAGGAGTGTCAATTGACACTCCTTCCTGAAAATTACGCGGTTTACAAAGGTTAAAATTTTATTTTATTTATGCATATATTGAATCCCCTTGATTTCTTCAGTTATTTACTTTTTAAAATTTTGACATCCCTTAATAAAAATCTTGGTTCCGCTACTGATTTATGGTAACGTAATATAACATATATTTTCTTAAAAATTGTTCTGCATAGTATTTGGCCGCACTTACTGCCAAATACTACATTGCCCTCTAGCTGAGACGGAAAACTCTTCAGCCGCAAGTTGCAAATAGTGGCGGATCAACCCTTCTGTGTGGCATGGCATCCACTAGGTTGGCAAATTTTTTATATAGTATGCTGGAATTTTCTTAAGCAAAGTTAAATAGTTAATCTTGCCATGAGTTTCAAACTACACAAAAGGTGCATGAGAACGTTTTGCAAGGTTTGATTGTGTGTAGGGCTCATGTTCTCTAAAGTAAATACTTACTTTTACCGGGTATTTACACAAATCCAATAAATATACCACACATGTATTTAAAGATATGGTTAACACTAAACTATAGTTAATTAAATAAAAATTCTCATATTAATTTATCACTTAACCATGGTTAAAAAAAAAAAAAAAGCAGCCCGATGCACAAAGAATCCTTCGTTCACGCATGGTCCGGATAGGGCCACACTCAAGGGATGTGATGTAGACTTGATAAATTAGTACAATTTGATGTAAATAGTAGGTGTGGTAAAATAAAAGTATTGCTCTTAATCTCAAATATTAGAATTTCCTTCTTTTAAAACTGAAAAACTCGGGTGTCGGTGAAAATTTTGGATTGAGGTCAAATTCATTTTTCATAATTTCTTTTGTTTACCATATCATAATTTTGTGCTTTTCTATAGCTGTGTAAAGTTTAAATCTTTTTACTTTTAAATTGTAATGAAAATTTCATACGTACTGTACAAAAAAATCATAAAAATTTTGTTTTTGAGTTTTATGGACTTATAAATTCTCGAATTTTACATTTACTTATGGGGTGTTGTTTAACTATTGAAGATGTTTTTCCTATTTTTCTTATTCTGAATTGGTGTAGTTCTCTCGTCTAAGATGTTATTTTACTTGTACAATTTTTTCTTTAATAAAGAGAATGTGATTCTCTAAATAAAAAATATTACTATTAATTTTACATGTGAAAATTTATTTTTAATTTATAAGAAAGAATATAATTTCACTAGTGAAAATGTTATTTTTACTTGTATTGTTAATAATAGAGATGTGATATATATTATTCAAAATGTTGATTTTATTTGTTTCTTGATATAAAAGATGTAATTTTATATTTGTAAATAAAAAAAACTATTAAGTTGATGTGATCGAACCGAACCGAATATACATTTCTAACAAACGTTGTAGTCAAAGTGTACATTAAAGTAAATATGGCACCCCGCCACCTTCAATTTCGGATCCGCTTTTGGGTGCAAACCTGGCAAGAAAATACGCTGAGAAAAGTTCAAGATGAATAGTAGTCACTAGGATTCAGTACAATATCCCTTACAGCTTCAATTAATACATTATGTATTTGCTCTGTTTGCTCCTGGCACTTTAAATGGGCTTCTTTAAATTATTGACTTCTTTGAAGTTCGAGGGTCGCCGGTAATCAACCTCCACTTCCAAGAGGTTGTGAGTTCGAATCACCCCGGGAATTCTTGGAGGGAAGGATGCTGAGTGTCTATTGAAAAAAGTCTCTCTATCTCATGGTAGGGATAAGGTCTGCGTACACACTACCCTTCCCAGACCCCACTAGTAAGATTATACTGGGTTGTTGTTGTTGTTGTTGTTGTTTGAAGTTAGAAGACCCTTGACGATTTTCTAGCATAACACTAATAAATGGCGGATGATCTTCAGATGGTGGTCATCCGATACTGTTGCTGTGGTGACTGGTGCAAATAGAGGGATAGGATTTGAGATTGCTCATCAACTAGCATCGCATGGCTTAACGGTTGTTCTTACATCGCGAGAGACTGGTGTTGGTGAAGAGGCTGTGAAAGTCATGCAAGAAGGAGGTTTAAATGTAGCATTTCATCAACTGGATATCGTCGATCATGCATCAGTTGAAGCATTTTCCGATTGGATAAAAGAAACTTATGGCGGTTTGGATATACTGGTATTATGCTACCCTTATATTCTCTCTATAATTAAGCTACCAGCAGTTGCATAAACAACTAGAATAGCTTTCATTAGTATGTCACTATTTTGACTGGTGCAAAATCTCCTAGTCTTTCTCTTCTTGATCATTGATTCAAGGAGGGCGGCTTTTATATGGTGTTCTGGTTTGGTCTATTATTTTTGCCAAATATGGCCACTTTCAGCTGATGATATGGTACTATATATATGTAGATCAACAATGCAGGAGTGAGTTTCAATGTTGGTACAGAGAATTCCATGGAACATGCTGAAACTGTCATCCAAACCAACTATTTTGGCACAAAGAATATGACTAAAGCGATGATTCCATTGATGAGGCCTTCTCCTTCTGGCGGTCGTATTGTTAGTGTGAGCTCTCGATTGGGACGACTTAACGGCAAAAAGAATGTAAGAACTTCAGTTTTCTTACCATTCTTGTTATTCTTCTCATTCTTGTGTCCTTGTTCATCTTGCTTACTCTTTTAGCAATTCCTTAAGATTCCAGGCAACACCAACTTTTCCAGATTGAAATCAAGTTAGGTCAATACTTTGTCCTGATTGGCAAGGCAGCCCGGTGCACAACGTATTCTGCGTTCGCACAGGATACCGGGAAGGGTCGTACTCAAGGGGTGTGATGTAGACAGCCTACCCTAATGCAAGCATTAGCGGCTGTTTCCACGGCTCGAACCCATGACTTATAGGTCACACGAAAACAACTTTACCGTTGCTCCAAGCAGAGGCGGACCTATGTGTTATGTTGAGGGGTCACCCGACTCCGTAAATCTCAGCAGAAATCTTGTGTGTGTATGTATGTGTATAT